GGACTGGGCGCAGCATCAACTCCGACGACAGCGAGCATAATTGCGCTGCAATTAGCAAGCCCGTATCCGACGTTGACGAGCAAACTCTGGCAATTTGTGAGTTGAACGCGAAGTGTCAAGCCACTACCGCATCAATTAAGACCCAAGCGGTGGCCACAGAAGTGAGCAATTATCACACACACGCGGATGACCACTATGAAGTATAAATACCGTGCAGCCTGTGCATGTTGCCACCCCATCTGCGCATGACCATGCCTATGTTATCATCACCTATGATTGAGGATTTCCGACGGCATCCGAAACATCAGGCAAATAAAACTCTTGTTCCAGTGATCGCATCCTATTCTTCTGAACTGCTTCCTGGAACTCGTATATTCTCTGCTATTGGCTAACAGACTATCCCAATCTCCAGCCCCATTCGCCCACGCTACACACTGATTATGCCATATGGGCAACGTCAAAACACTCATTAACCCTGGTCAACTGTATTAGTTTCATTATCCCGGCTGAAAACATATGTTTGCCGAATAAACTCCTCTTGATAATTGTTAAAAACCTGGAAGCAACAGTATTTTTCACTCTATTTACTCGATCCATGATTTAATACGTAATTGCCCCCGTACCCACGCCGTGTGGTCGGCGTGAAAAAGACGAGTTGTACTCAACAGATAATTCTTAACCCTATTCACATGTACTTATTTCGTCATCCATGCAGTTGTACAGGCCCAATGGTAGTTTCTGGAAAAAATACGTTTGGCAAATACACTTCTCAAGTTAAGCCTGGAAATATTTCCAAAATTATGTATTTGTACATTAAACTAAACTTGCTGCTACAGTATGAATGAATATTCTCAAAGACATTAATAGAGAGTTTTACAAATGGGAGGAAGAGATGAAAAGAAGAACATCATCAGTGGGAGGATATTGTGGCAATCGGATTGAAAATCTAAAAATAGAAATTAAGATGTGTTAGTTAGGCATGCGTTGTGAAGTTGTCCGGTCTGCTCATGCATATAAACTGCAGGTCGGTGGAGTGATAAAACTCGTAAGGGGTAGCTACAAGCAAACTTTTAACGCGCATAAACTTAACCATCTACATAATTCTCGTAATGGTACTTTATTCCTGTTTTGGCAAGCCGTCCGTGAAATGTTTGATAGCAAAAACGGAAGCGAAAAAATTCAAAGAACGCACAATTTTAGGCCCGGTACTTGATTACCCGAATGACTTTGTAGTAGGTCATACTTTGCGTACATTAGGCATACAGCTGCCAGATAAGTGAACGAACCACAAATAAACAGTATATTTTGAAGACAGTTATAAATGTGTCATAAAGCATAAACGTCAAGCTGTTTTGCTACCAATACGCCTATTAAGGCATGATTCACGAGACAGCAACAAATAGCTTACTTTTTATCAAGTGCGCTCAGTGCTCCACGGTGATGTATGGCTATATTACCATAACATTCTTTGCAAATAAGGCACCCAAAATGAGGCAGGCGTTTTCAAATGTGAAGCCTGAAAATTGTAATGTAAATAGTTATTCATTCGGAGACTAGTTTTTCAATCAATTTTCAAAGCGAAAGTGAGAATATATAAACCATGTACAAATTAGACAGAAGACGCTAGGCGCGCGAATCAAAGTGCATTTTCAAAAACGGTTTTTTTTAAATAATAAAAATCAAGCCCGGTTAAACCTTCTTCGAATGAGTGCATAGGTTAATTGAGAACTTTACTTTTCATTGTGCAACAGATGATGGACGAATATTGTTGGGCTTGGTTAGAATTAAACATCTATGAAGCCTGTGTGTCCACCTACTAACACCTAGTGATCTTCAGTTTAGCAGTAAATATAGTGAATAACTCATCTGCCGCACCCTGTGGCCATAATCTACCGGGAAATGGACTCCCGCCAATTCGGTTTTCGTCTCCTTCTTGGTGGGTACTGCAATCAGCAAGGGAGTACCTGGCCACATCGTCCACACTTCGGTGATGATCTTTCTGACTTCTATGGTTCTCTCCCCCTTGCGATTCTAGCTTACTGATGACGCCCCTCTCCTGTCTCGCCACCCTAACGATTGTTCCTGTGGCGATATACGCTGGTTATACGTTTCTGTCCCTACACTACAAGGCGAGGTTAAAACCCTTAAACGCCCTCACAAACATGCCGCTCCTATCATGAGTATATGTTCCTCAAACGAGCGGTAAATGGTTTTTTCATAAAAAATTCCATAGGTCGCTTTCAAGCTCTTAAAGGACAAGGTTAATTTTCTGCTATTTCCCATTAACAAGAGGGAAAGTTATATCGCTCCTCTAGACTGCTCCAGCCAAACCCTACCCACACAACCAGCATTCGCTTATCGACCCAACCCCATTCCCGCGACTCACTTGTCCGAAAAGACGAACACGTTTGAACTTGCACCCAGTTTTCATGTTAACGTACGGCCTGACGAGAATTTGTCGAAAGTACACGTATACTCGCCAAAGTGAACATCTGAATTCTCTGATGGGAATTTTCGAAACTCTAATACAGTCTAGAGTTACATAACTGTCTGCATCCTTCCACACTTTCTCACCCTTCCCAACCTCCCCCCCCCTGCTCGGATTCAACAAGTTCTCATCGCCGAGTACTATAAGCGCCACTCCCTCCCATTTTTTCATGACTAATTCGACTGTAATGATTAACATAATTGCCTGCATGTTACCTTTTACCCCCTCCATACAGAAATTTAATGGCCCGAGGAGAATTTGTCGAAAGCTACTTAGGCTCGCCAGATATTCTTCTGAAACTAAAATTGTCCATTATCTTTCATATACATGAGGTGGGATGTGCGGCCATCGGCAGATGCAGTGAAGTTACTTGCCGATCACAAACAAGCGCATTAGTGGACATTTTGTTCAGTAAGTGGCCTCGAATTGGTCATTACTCTAAAACTGGCCTGACGCCTTTAACTTAAGTCGTTAACGCCGCCACCGCCAATAGATACAAATAGTTAAAAGTTAGTTGACCCAATTGTGATAAAAACTCGCGGCGTTGACGGGAGTTGAACCCACACAGCAGGGAAGGCCTATACGCAGCCAGTTCTCTACCAATTTGAGCTACGACGCCACACAATTGTGTCAACTAAATTAAGCAAACATGCCGAAACTTCCTAAAAAATTGTTAAAAATTTGATAAAATGCGTAATTTGTTAACTCACATTTAGCAGAAGATGTCGTCTCATCGTTGGTTGGTTCGTTTGTCACAGGTGGAGCTGATAAATCATGAAAAAAGTAGAGTGATCCGTCCACGCGAGCGCATGAAAAATCGGTATTTCGGAGAGAACGACAATTTGAGGAAAAAAAGGCAGATTCTGAAACCCTTTGTAACACTATCTTAGTTGGCAGTCCCGATAGCTAAGCAAACCAAATTATCTGCTAGTTGCTCGCTCATTACCTTCAATAGTCTGCTTATTAGACGAGAATTCACCGTGCTGAATAATTTTTCTGGTACAATGTTGGTCTAATTTTCATTCACTTTTATTTAAGTGTTTCGTTTTTGCGTCTTGCAAAGTATCCAAACACCCAGTACCTCATCCGCATGCAAATTTATTTTTAATTTCATGGTAAATAGGGATTCATGTCAGGTGGCCACCTCGGCGATTAAACCCTGCATTAATTATGCTACGATTTTTATCTTTGCTGACAGAATTCGTCAGCATTTCTTAGGCAGATCTGATCAATCACGTTCCGGTTAGAATGTTAACCACGTGAGTTCTAGAACGGTATTTTTATCCAGTTTGGCAATACCAATAACCAAATTAGCACAACTAAGAATGTAGTTTTTAATATCTCCAAAATTCTAATTCACCTGCAGAAGTGGTTGTGGTCGTTGTTGTTGTTGTGGTTGTGGTAGTTGTTGTTGTTGTTGGCGGCTTAGTCAGAGCTGTCGAAGTGCAAACAAAAAAGGTAGGTGAGGATGTCCAGGCATGAGGGTGATCATTGCTCAAATTTACAGAACGTACTATAATATGGTTAAAACGTTTCTGAAAATCCGTTCTTATCTCTGAAGCCATGGGGAAGTAATCTCGAACCTTATGGAGAACTTTGAGGTAGTTTATGAAATAAGCAAACGGTTACAACACAATACTGATCTGTTTTTATTAGGCTTATCGTTGAAGGTTTGATTTGCAAGAAAAGTTCAAATATATTCCCTGCAGGGACATTTTCGGAGGCATGTCTGTTAAATGTCGAAACGAATTGGTATTTTTGTGATTGTTTAAGCATAATCGCTATCAGCCTTCATAATCGAATAAATGAAAAGATAAAGTGGCTACCTTGGTGAGCGAAACGTGCATTAGCGCAAACGCTTGATTGACCCTTCGCTGGTATATGTGAAATTCACCTTGAAACCGACCTGATTGATCATGTTAAGCTTACTACACAAATTATTGGGTAAAAAAGTGCTTATTATTCAGGTAGCTCATATAAGGGAAAACTTGTTCGCTATGAATGACGGAGTCTCAACAAAGGCGGAATTGTTTTATGCACATATAGTAGAGGAGCTGGTTGCTTTTTGTACTAAAATTTTTCACTGTCACTAGTGAAGCTGTTTAATTCCAAACAAAATAGATTGCCTGGGCTATTGCCACACATCCAAAACGCAAAATCTATCACAAGGGGTCATTTTTTGTTTTATTTACTCACGTGTATTTCCCGTTGTCGCATTAAACGGTTGTGATTCAACGCTGCATAGTTTATCATAACAAGCCTTGGTTACTAATGAGTACTCCGTTCCCTTCTCCAACCCATCAAAATCACAGCTGAGTTGTTCATCAGGAGTGCATTCGGCTTTGTACCCAGATAGGTTAGATATTATGACTGTATAGGTCAAATTGAGGTTTTCGCCGGCCGCCGCGGGAACCAATGATACTCTCATCCAGGTGTCGCCGACGTGTGTCACTTCTGCCGTTGGTGCTGGTAAAATTTTAAGGAAACACATTTAATAACCTCCTGGTACACCAGTGCATATATATGCAGTATTAGATGACAATGCATGAACAAATCAAAGAGCAGTTAACAAATAGCTACATGAAAAATGTTAGACTTACGATTTGGAGCAGTGAGCACTTTTAATACATTCTCGGAAGCGACTGTCTTAGCGTCATAGGTATTCTCGACGGACATAGTCGTATCATAGTATGTTAGGGCGTTAAGACCCTTAACAGTTGTCGTGTTCAAGCTTGGGTCAACTTTTGAAACACCAGCTGAGTCGGGGGCTGACGCTCTTACAACCACTAGTAGGTGCTCGAACGTTTGATTTGGCAGAGTCCAAGCAAACTTGATAGCTGTACTGTCAACAGCTTCAGCTGTAAATTCTTCGGGAGCTGAAAGAGCAAGACAAATTAAATATGCCTGATTTAATGAAATACTCAGCCTTTAAGTTAAATACCGGCCGGCTCTTTGAGCAAAGTATTTCACGTACATTAAACTGCAGTTAATTCCATATCTTACGAAAGGTTTGCCGAATTTTTCACACTTTTTTGAACTCGAAAAAATTTTTTGAATCATGGTTGTAAGATTATTTACAGCGTGGCTGTACGGCGCTCAATTCTTAAATAGCTTCTTATTCACCACAAAACATGCCAAAGTATTATTTTTGCTCTAACTGTATGAAAAACTACGTCTTTCTAAGCGGTCATACTTAAAGAAAGGGTATTTTTTATTAAGAAAATCCTCCTGAGTTGTTGCACAATGTTGCGCTCTAGGCTTATCAAGGAAAAACAAATTTGCGGTGTCATAGCAGTTTCCATAGCGCCATTTTAATACTTTATACGCAGTTTTGCCAAGGCCGAAATATATGCTTTCTTCAAGCATAGGCATAGAAGTTTTACGATATTCGCTACAAAATAACTACAACGAATAATATGCTTTGACTTTATTTTGAAAGATTAATTGCATTCACAAGGGAGTCATATTCATAATAATAAATAGATTATTCGTCAGCAAAGTTTACTTAACACAGTTCTTTTAATTGGCATGCACTGTTCTTTATCGCCAAGACGCTAAATAATTTTGTCAATTTATTTAGAAGCATACAGACTTGACAATAGTTACACATGGCGTTTATACGTAAAAAAATTACCTTTTGGATATGTTGAAGCAGAAGCAGATGGCTTCGAAAACTGTTCGCATTTGGTCAGATCTTTTTCATTTGATGGACATATTATCACCATGGCTTGATACACTGTGTTTGGCATAAGATCAGTAATTTCAGTAAAGTACATTTTATTCTCAACGCTATCTTCAAAGTCGGAATAGGGTGCATCATTCAATAGCACGCGAAAAGATTTTGAGCTCTCGTTAGTATTGGATTTCCATCGCAGCATTATTGATGTAGACGAATTGGACATGATCTGCAAATTAACTGTAGTAAGCAACAATTACTGGATTAGTTTTTGTTTTAAAACCTTAATATTTTAAATGAATTTGTTAACAAAAACGCTATCGCGGTAAACATGGTATAGACTTACTAAATGCATGGTAATGGTGTTTGCCAAGTGAGCAATACGGAGGTTAATTCTAATACTAATAAACAAAAAATGCACATGTGCCTATCTGTCACACTCCAAATAATTGACTAAAGAGCACTTTGGATGAATATATAATGTAGAATTGGTACAAAGGCGTGCCAAAAATTGTCTTTATAAAATATATTGTATCCTTACAAAGCGATCCTTCTTCTAAAAATTATATTCCTGAAGTTCGTCCTCATGACCAACTATTTTTCCTTCTTATCCATGTTGAATAAACATGTGCTATCTCTTTACAAACATCCCCACGGACTCAAAGTACCTGCTGGAATTTTAATTTTTATGATGCTAATTAAAAAGCATCCCAATTCTCTGTGACTGTGGACTTGAGGTCAATTTAAATAATTTTGTCTAATGATAATAACTATCGGAATATTTGTGTACCTATCGGATGGAAAATGTTATCATGCATTTAATAAACGCTTACAGCTACTTAAATATCAAGTAGGTCACAGGATACCTCTGAGTATATCTTCAGGAACAAATGTGTTGATAACTCACCCAACTCTCCTGAAGACGAAGAAATACATAAGAGTGCTACAATTGCAAAACAATTTCTTGCCAAAGCCATTACAACCATCCTGTAACTTTGAACCTGCGTTTACACGATGTCTGTATTCCATGGGGACTTATATGCTTTTTCAATCAAGTCTTTGAATGGTCTACTTTAATAAGGACAACAGAAACATAAAGCAACATTGAACGTTAAAACAACTTGTATACCTAGTCGATTAAATACTATTTTTTTCAAAATAAGGACATCTTCCGTCAAAAATAATACAAACACACCTGATAATCAACTATTGTGCTCTTGCGTACGTGAATACGCCAATAGTTGCATTATTTAACTTGCTGACACATTGTCGAGGTTGCATAAAGAATATATAAAGGTTGTTGGCCGCTCAGTACCTCGAGGAGCACTCCCGTTACAAACTTAATACAATTTTTCCTTAAGACTATAGGTCGAGTGTAACGAATTCATTATTATCTCCTAAAGATGCAGTGAATGCTGTCACCTATCGGACCATGAAAAATCTTCTTTCACAAATGACCAAAAGATAAATAAATAATTAAATTTTATATTTTAGGCCCCAAAGGCCTCGCCATTGCAAACTTAGTGCTCTGGAAAAATAAATACAAAGTTGATTAGTGCTGCTGTCCTTGAGCAACCACACAGGCAGCGGGAGCGTTTAGTAATGTAAGAGGATAAATTCGAATTCACCAACATGTCGTCATTTTAAAATAATAGTCAACACTCTCTGAAACGCATGGTGAACTAAG